GGCGGGACTTCCCTATCAAACAGGAACATCAAAAGATCCAGGCTGCAGGATCCGGCCAATGGCCACCTAGGCTGCATTCATGCCGAATGTTAAAAGCGCTGCGATACCGCTTTAAACAGCCATGGCTTCCCCCAAAGGATTCTGGGAGCTGTAGTTTGCTAAGGCTGCAGAGAGTTGTGAGGAGACAACCCCCGCTATTCCCTTCAGAGAACTGCAATTCCCAGAATTCCCTGGGAAGAGGGATTGGCTGTTAACCCACTCTGGGAATGATAGCTCCATGAGCGGGAACAGCAGGGTCTCCTCACCACGCTCAGCCAACTACAGCTCCCAGAATCCCTTGGGAGAAGACATGCCAGTTTGACCGCCAACGCCGCTTCCCAGGGAACTCTGGGGTTTTTGCTCTGTGCTCTCAGCACCCTCAACCCAACTACAGTTCCCAGGATTCCTTGGGGGAGAAACCATGACTTTAAAGCGCTCAACAAACGCATGAACGTGGCCCTCCTAGGCCAGTGTTTCCCAAACGTGGGTCTCCAGCTGTTTTTGGACTACAACTCCCATCGACCACAGCTAACAAGACCAGCAGTCAGGGATGATGGGAGTTGTAGTCCCGGAGACCCACGTTTGGGAAACCACACAGTGGGGCAGATTCAGTTATGGGGCTTCCAGTTGCTGGCTCCTCTTTAAATGAAGATTATCCCAGATCGGGCCTGGCATTAAATCCACCTGTAACCTGCTCAGATTGGCCAGAAAACAAAACACCAAAATCCAAACCAACCAACCCTAAGCTGGGACCTCTTTCTCCTTTTTCTGTGGGTCTCTCTTACCCCCACTCCAGACCCTCCAAGAGTCCCTATTTTCCAGGGTTATCCCCAGCTTTGAAACCTTTCAGACCGAGATGGTTGTGTTTTCTATTCCGGAACCTCTAAGTAGCTCTATTTTCCAGGTCGCCCCTGATTTACAGAAGCCGTCCCGGTTTTTTTATTTGATCCCGGAATCTCCTGCTTTTCCTTAAAGGTAAAGGGTAAAGGGACCCCTGACCATTAGGTCCAGTCGTGGCCGACTCTGGGGTTGCGGCGCTCATCTCGCTTTATTGGCCAAGGGAGCCGGCGTACGGCTTCCGGGTCATGTGGCCAGCAGGACTAAGCCACTTCTGGCAAACCAGAGCAGCGCACGGAAACGCTGTTTACCTTCCCGCCGGAGCGGGACCTATTGATCTACTTGCACTTTGAAGTACTTTCAAACTGCTAGGTTGGCAGGAGCAGGGACCGAGCAACAGGAGCTCACCCCGTCGCGGGGATTCGAACAGCCGACCTTCTGATCGGCAAGTCCTAGGCTCTGTGGTTTAACCCACAGCGCCACCCACATCCCTAATTCCCATGTTACACCCCCCCAAACTACATCACCAATACATCATGGTTACATCATGAAAGGGGAGGTCTGGTGGCCGTAATCTGAGCATCCTGGACCCTGCCCCATGGTTCTCCTTGTCCTCCACCAAACCCCCATCAAGTGGAACAAAAAAGATATTTACATTCCTCTGTTTCCCAGCCAAGTTAGTAAAAGCTAAAGGGACCCCTGACCATTAGGTCCAGTCGTGGCCGACTCAGGGGTTGCGGCGCTCATCTCGCTTTACTGGCCGAGGGAGCCGGCTTACAGCTTCCGGGTCATGTGGCCAGCAGGACTAAGCCGCTTCTGGCAAACAAGAACAGCGCACGGAAACACCGTTTACCTTCCCGCCGGAGCGGTACTGTCAGAGCTATTTATCTACTTGCACTTTGACGTGCTTTCGAACTGCTAGGTTGGCAGGAGCAGGGACCGAGCAATGGGAGCTCACCCCGTCGCGGGGATTCGAACCGCCAACCTTCTGATCGGCAAGTTCTAGGCTCTGTGGTTTAACCCACAGCGCCACCCGCTTTTCCTTAGAACGTCCCTATTTCCATCGGAGAAATGTCGGAGGGTGAGGAGTTATCCGACCCCTGAGCCGTCCGAAAGCAATCCTGTACAGTGGTACCTCGGGTTAAGTACTTAATTCGTTCTGGAGGTCCGTTCTTAACCTGAAACTGTTCTTAACCTGAAGCACCACTTTAGCTAACGGGGCCTCCTGTTGCTGCTGTGCCACTGGAGCATGATTTCTGTTCTCATCCTGAAGTTCTTAACCCGGGTTCTTAACCTGAGGTAATATTTCTGGGTTAGCAGAGTCTGTAACCTGAAGCGTATGTAACCGGAAGTGTATGTAACCCGAGGCCTCTGGATGCGAACGGGATCCGTTCCGGAGCCCCATTCGCATCCAGAAGCGAACGCAACCCTCGTCCACGCATCGCGATTCGCCGCTTCCATGAATGCTTGTGACGTCATTTTGGCTGCCTGCGCATGCGGCGAAATCTGGAAGTACCACGCTCCGTAACTTCCGGGTCGCCGCAGCGCGCAACCCAAAAATACTTATTCCGAAGCTACTTCAACCCAAGGTATGACTGTACAGTGGTACCTTGGGTTACACACGCTTATGCCTTGGTTTCTGAACGTTTCAGAACAAAAACGGTCTTCTGAAACAGATTATGTTCAAAAACCAAGGTACTACAGTGATACCTCGGGTTACATACGCTTCAGGTTACAGATGCTTCAGGTTACAGACTCCGCTAACCCAGAAATAGTACCTCGGGTTAAGAACTTTGCTTCAGGATGAGAACAGAAATCGTGCTCCGGCGGCGCGGCGGCAGCGGGAGGCCCCATTAGCTAAAGTGGTGCTTCAGGTTAAGAACAGTTTCAGGTTAAAAACGGACCTCCGGAACAAATTAAGTTCTTAACCCGAGGTACCACTGTATAGGGAATGGGTGCTTTTTAAAAAATGCTTTTATTAGGTTTTTATATCTGTTGGAAGCTGCTACCCAGGACGACGCACGGGGCATAAACAGCGAAATTATCGCGACGGAACGGGACGTCCCTATTTCCACCGGGGAGCTATTGCATCCTTGCTCCCTCGACCTCATCCAGGTGAGGACAGGTGAGGGCATCCTTGCAGAGGCTGGACCAGAGAGCCTTTGCCGCTCAGGTGAGGGAGATTTGGGGGGGGGGGAGAGCAGCAGAAGGCAGGGTTCCCAAATGGGACCTGACATTTCTCTGCGGTGCCCCAGGCGGCAGCTGGGGAAAAGCGTGTCACACGGAGGGGAGAAAGAGAGAGAGAAAGAGAAAGAGGAGATGTGGGGCACAGGGTGGGGGGGGGGCGAGGGGCAGAGTTTGGGGTTGGGGGTGTAGGAACAGCAGCTGCCTCTGCCAGGAGCAGGTGCCCCACACGGGGGGGGGGGGGGGGAGACGCTCCGATGCCTTGTGTGTGTTTTTTTCCGCCTAGTGCTTTGGGATTTGCTCCCCCCCTTCTTTAAATGCAACCCCCCCTTTCCCGGCCGTTGCCAAGGAAACTGGCTTAGCGATGCTGCAAAAAGAGAGAGGGACGGCTTGGTGGGAGATGGAAGGGGTGGCGTTTGGGGGGGGAGAGGAGAAGCAGCTGGTTCCTCCTCCTCCTCCTTCTCGCCATCCCCTGCTTTTTGCGGAGAGTTCTCCCTCCCTCGCTGTTCTCTGCCCCGACCGGCAAAGCCCCCCGACCCTGAAGTTAGTGGGGTGGTTGTAGGGTGAGCGTCGCTCGGACAGGACCTGGCGGTGAAAAAAACATGGCCCCAAAGGGCAGCAGCAAAGGATTCTGGGAGCCAGAGCACCCTGGGCTTTGGGGGGAGAGAAGCCCTTGTTCCTGCAGGGATGAAGCTCATCGCTAGACCCGAGGTCGCAGCTTAGTGGTGGGACACCTGCTTGGCGTGTAGAAGGCTCCACCCTGGGGGAGCGTCTTCAGGTAGGCCTGGGATACCCCCCTTCCAGTGCCTGAAAGCAGGGCTGCTGCCGGCCCGTGTAGGCTGCACTGAGCTAGGTAGACTGCAGAGGTCTGGCGTTAGGTATAATGTGTTTGCCTGTCTTCGTACATTTTGAGCTGCTCAGGGGGAGAGCTGCTTGGAGTGAAGAAGGCTCCGGGTACGATCTCTGGATAGGTAAAGGGCCCTGCCGGGAGCCCTAGCGAGACGCTGTTGCCATTCAGTGCTGGCAACGCTCTGCTAGATAGGCCACTTTGGTCTGAGACTGGGATAGCTCCGTTGGTAGAATAATAATAATAATAATAATAATAATAATAATAATAATAATAATAGATTTATTATTTTCACCATCTGGCAGGATTCTGTGATGCATCTGAGGTTCTTAAATAGGGGCTGGATGGGAACCTGCCAGGCATTCTTTAGGTAAAGGTAAAGGGACCCCTGAACATTAGGTCCAGTCGTGGCAGACTCTGGGGTTGCGGCGCTCATCTCACTCTATTGGCCGAGGGAGCCGGTGTACAGCTTCCAGGTCATGTGGCCAGCATGACTAATCCGCTTCTGGCAAAACAGAGTAGCGCACGGAAACGCCGTTTACCTTCCCGCCGGAGCGGTACCTATTGATCTACTTGCACTTTGAGGTGCTTTCGAACTGCTGGGTTGGCAGGAGCAGGGACCGAGCAACGGGAGCTCACCCCGTCGCAGGGATTCGAACCGCCGACCTTCCGATCGTCAAGCCCTGGGCTCTGTTGTACTTTAGACCATCCTGTACGCCTGAACTAAACTGAATAATAAACTAGAATAATAAAAGATGCTGGTCTAGCTGCTCCGATCCTGCGGAGCTCTTCCGGTCGCACAAAGCACTCTGCACATGCCCAGAGGTGCTGCTCAAACTGTTTCTGGGAAGCTAGCGATTGGAGCGGTTTCCGGTTAGCAGCACAGGGGAGGGACAGAGCTAAAGACGAGGATTGGATTTTGATGGTGATTCTTATGATTTCAAAGAAGGGATTGCGGTGTTAAGTAGGTTCCCTGACGCCCTGACCTACGGCGCTGGAGAGGGGAATGGGGAGAGAAATGTGAAACAGCTGGGGGGAGGGTTTGGGGGGGCTCGCCCGTGTCCGCTCGCCCGCCCCCCTTTTGCACCCTTACCGTCCTCCATGGGGACGTAGATGTTGAGGTACAGGCAGTCTTCGCTCTGGTTCTGGACGTACCCCGCCACAATCTCCAGGTTTTCAGTGAACCACACCGGGAGCATGATGCCCGGGAGCATGCCGTGGATGTTCTGGGGGCAGACGGGAGCGAATGCGGTGGCGTTCCGCACCTCGGACCAGGACGCGGGCGCCTCGGGGGGCTGGAAGCGTCTCTCGCCCACGGGCGGCGTGGCGTAGGGGATGCCCAGGTACTGCACCACGGGTCCCAGGATTTCGTTGTTGAGGTCCTTCTTGATCCCCCGCAGCTTGCCGTAGTTGGTGGGCACCACCGGGTACTTGTCCTCCGGCTTCTGCCCCGAGAGGGGCAAGGAGCGCAGCGCTAGGCCCAGGAGCCAGAAGAGGACGGCTGAGCCCGTGCGGAGATTCAGCACCCGCAGGACGAGCCTCGAGGGCGGAAGGAACATGGCGGACGTGGCGGTGGGGTGGCGGGCGACGGATTCTGGGGAAGGGAGAGAAAGGAGCGTCCTCGCGCGAGGAGCGGGCGAGGAGGAGGGAAGAGGAAAGAGGTGCGGGAGGCGAGCCGGGCGTCCGCCGGAGCAGCAGCAGAAGAAGAGGAGGAGATAACCACCAGGAGAGCGGTCCGAGAGGAGAGGATTAGGAAGCCCGGAGGTCTTAGCGGGAATCGCAGGAGGGTTTTCCGGCAGAGGAAAGGCGTCTGTTGCGCTCCATCGTGGCCCGGGAGAGCGGGAAGCGTCCAGCCAGACTTGATAAACGCACCTAGAGGTCAAGAGATGGAGGGGGGGGAGAATCAAAGGGAGGGGTGAATAAGAGGCAGAAGGGGAGAAACGGAAAGGAGACAGGCAGGATGGGTGGAGAGAAAGAGAGAAAGAAAGGGGTTTTCAGAAAGAAGCTATCCTCCAATCATTCACCCCTCAAATAGTTTTCTTCACCTAAAATTGACACGCCATTGATTTAAAGCATAGTTTCCCCCCTTTAAAAAATATATATATTCTGGGAACTGTAGTTTTTTGCGGGTGCTGGGAGTTATAGTTCCGGAAGGTGCGAACTACAGTTCCCAGGATTCTTGGAGGGGGTAAATATGCTTTAAATGTACAGTACACACAGCTCCCATCCCCAAAACACCTTTACCTTCCCCAATGTGTTGCCCCCCCCACCTCCAAAATCTCTTCTTTTCGGGGGCTTGGGAACTGATCTGCATATTGACATCATGTAGATTATGTGTGATTACAAAGCAATGCATTATGCACCTCACATTTCCTGCGAAGAGGGAGTTGAGGACAAAAAGGGAGGTTGGGGATTTGTCGGGTGGGGGGGGGGAGAAGAGGCACACCCTGGCTCACCCCAGGCACCTCCGTTCCCTTAAGGGAAAACAGGTCCATTTGGAAAAATTATCTCCTCTCTCTCTCCTTGCTCAACTATTCTATTAACCACACTTCCATTTTCCGCCTTCCGTTGGGAGTGATGGGCCACGAACCCAAATGCAACCTGAGAATGTAAGGATGAGGCTGGCGGCCCGTGTAGTCCGGCGTTCCTGTTCTCACAGTGGCCAACCAAATGCCCATTCTGGGAAACCCATCAGGATTCGAACACAAGACCCGCTCTCCCACTCCTGAGGTTCCCCGCAACTGGGATTCAGAACTATTTACTGCCTCCAACCACAGAGGCGGAACACAGCAGGCAACACCAGCCCTCCACAAATAGGTCCAATCTTCTTTCAAAGCCATCCCAATTGGTGGCCTCCAGTGGCAGGGTGTTCCACCGTCTAACTACGTGCGGAAGGACTTCCTATTATCCGTCCCAAATAGCCCGGCCCTCGGCTTCGCTGGATGTCCGCTGGTTCCGGCATCACGAGGGAGGAGAACCAACAGATTCAAAGGACGAGAAGGGAGATTCCGACCAGGAAGAGGTTTTTGATAGCAGGAGCTGTTCGACAGTGGAACAGACTGCCACAAGAAGTGATGGACTCTCTCCTTCCTTGGAGATTTATAAGCAGAGGTTGGACGGCCATCTGTCAGGGATGCTGAGATTCCTGCACAGGGGGAACCTTCTGATTCAAAGAATCATAGAATCGTAGGGACCCCACGAGTCATCTAGTCCAGCCCCTTGCAATGAAGGAATCTCAGCTAAAATATCCAGGCCACATGGCCATCCAACCTCTGTTTAAAAACCTTCAAGGAAGGACAGACCACTTAGGCCACAGGTAATCCTCATGGGTGGCGCTGTAGGTTAAACCACAGAGCCTGGGACTTGCCGATCAGAAGGTCGGCGGTTCGAATCCCCATGATGGGGGTGAGCTCCCATTGCTCGGTCCCTGCTCCTGCCAACCTAGCAGTTCGAAAGCACCTCAAAGTGCAAGTAGATAAATAGGTACCCCTCTGGCGGGAAGGTAAACGGTGTTTCCGTGCGCTGCTCTGGTTCGCCAGAAGTGGCTCAGTCCTGCTGGCCACATGATCTGGAAGCTGTACACCGGCTCCCTCGGCCAATAAAGTGAGATGAGCGCCCCAACCCCAGAGTCGGCCATGACTGGACCTAATGGTCAGGGGTCCCTTTACCTTTTAATCCTCATGGACTTTCCTGGACATGCCCTCCTTTAATTCTGATTTCTCCCCAAACCAGGTGTGCCTTTGCGCGACCAAATGCAGGCAAGCAGCCATTTTGGGGGGGGGCACAAACACGGCGTCCCTTGAACCTCCACCCTGGGCAGATCGGAGCGCGGATCATTTCCCACGCCGAAACCGATCCCCGCGGGATTCTGCGCTGCGCTGGGAGAAGCGGCGTCCTCCCCCCCGCCTCCCCTTTCCCAACCGTACCAATTCTCCCCGGTGGATTCTACCAGGTCTTTAATTAAATAAAACTGGAGTTTTTTGTTTATCATTCACAATGTGGCAATTAGAGGCAGGAACGTGTAATTAGTACCAAATTGCGTCTGGGAGAATCCAAAAGGCCCAGAGAGAAAGGGGGGCAGTGCTGGGAGCGCGTGCCAGAACCCGACGCCATCAGAACAGCCAACAGACGGACGGACACTTCGACACAGGGGAAGTCAAGGCAGCTGCTGCAGCGCAGACGGCCTTCTCCAGACTCGGTGCTGTTGCAGGAATTTATGTATAGGTTAGGGGGGTGTTGCCCCTCCAGCAGATATCATGCACATGCAGCCCACTACCAAAACCAGCACAATCGCTTTTGTGACTTTTGTGATTTGTCCCCACAAAACACCCCATCACAGTTTCTTCCTGTCTATTCAAAGGGCCTTTGCTGCACGATACCAAATGTAAGAATTCACTGATAAATGGATATCTGTACTGGCTCACTGGAAAAACTTCAGAAATTCATATAGACAGGTTAGCTCCTCAGCAGGCCCTCTGCCTGAGTGATAATTCCTGGCATCCTGATACCTGAGTGCCAGACAGGTAGCCATTCCAGAAATAACAAACCCAGATGAAGACAAAAGGGTGGGATTCACTTGGCTGGGAAACAGGGAAATGTAAATATCTCTTTTCTTACACTTGATGGGTGTTTGGTGGAGGGCAAGGGGAACCATGGGGCAGGGTCCAGGATGCTCAGATTCCTGCCACCAGACCTCCCCTTTCATGATGTAACCCTGATGTATGAGTGATGTAATTTGGGGGGTGTGTAACATGGGGATTAGCAGCTAATAAAAGTTTGGGTTCTCTCTTGTTCGGGGCTTCCATCTTGTTCCACCTTGTTGGCAGGTGGGAGTCCTGTCGCGACAGCCTTCAATCAAGACCAAGCCGACTGGCTGCTGTTTTGCTCTGGTATTCCTGGCTGGTGTCCTTGCTTTTAGTCCAAGGGAGCCCTCGGATTTCTCCGTTAACAGTTCCCTGCAGGTGGCCTGGACTACAACTCCCATGAGCCCCTGGGAGGCTGATGAGAGCACAGTGGGTGTGTGGCGCAAGGGGATGTTGAGAATTGTGTTCCCTGCGTATCTGGAGAGTGCTGGGAGGAATGGGTGGGCTCCTGGCGGAGGCTTGTTGTGGATGGGACCAGGGAAGTGGGCTACAGCCGGATTTACGTATAAGCCAAACAAGCTATAGCTTAGGGCCCCACTCTCTTGGGGGCCCCAAAAAAATTAAAGGGAAAAAAAACATGGATGTACATATTCAAAATATAAGATAAAAAACAAATAAAATAAAACTTACCTACAGCAACAGCGTTTTGTGTTGTGTAGGCTCCTAGGATGCAAGTTGTGGGCCCCGCCTGCTCCCTAAAATATCACAGGTTTGTTCCTTTCTATATATAGGGCGCCTATATTCTGCATGGACTGGTTGCAGGACAAAATGGGCAAATGGCTTGAGATACCTATGAGGTCCATAGAATTTTGAATTATGGAGCTGGAGGAGACTTGAGAGTCCCATGGACTGCAAGAAGATCCAACCTCTCAATTCTGAAGGAAATCAGCCCTGAGTGCTCACTGGAAGGACAGATCCTGAAGCTGAGGCTCCAAGACTTTGGCCACCTCATGAGAAGAGAAGACTCCCTGGAAAAGACCCTGATGTTGGGAAAGATGGAGGGCACAAGGAGAAGGGGACGACGGAGGACGAGATGGTGGGACAGTGTTCTCGAAGGCACCAGCATGAGTTTGAACAAACTGCGGGAGGCAGTGGAAGACAGGAGGGCCTGGCGTGCTCTGGTCCAGGGGGTCACGAAGAGGCGAACATGACTAAACAACTAAACAACAACAAGGTCCATAAATTACCATACAGTGGACGCTCGGTTTGCAACCCGCAGTGTTCGCAACCTGCGCCTGCACACGTGCAGGTTGCGATTCAGCGTTTCTGTGCATGCACAAAGCGCAGTTTAGCACTTCTGCCCATGCGCAGCTGCCGAAACCCGGAAGTAACCCATTCTGGTACTTCCGGATTTCGGCGGTCCGCAACCCAAAAAAATGCAACCTGAAGTGGCTGTAACCCGAGGTATGACTGTATAGCATATACTCAACACACAAAAACAGCGACAATTTGTTGTTGACAAAGGACAGCTGGACATTTAAAGGGCCCCGTTACCTTCAGTAGCTTAGGGACTCATCAAACCAAAATCCGGCCATGGGCAGGGCGAATGGATGGTGATTCCAATTTTGAGAGACAAAGAGAATTCTAGGATTCCACGTTCTTTCTATCCAAAGGGGCGAATGTCAAAGAGCGAGTCGGCAGTGTGATGCAGCAGCAAAAACAGCTAACGTTATTCCAGGCTGCATCAGTCGAGGTCTAGTGTCTCGATCGAGGAAAGGAATAGTCCTTCTCTGTTCTGCCTTGGCCAGACCACAACTGGAGTCTTGGATCCAGTTTTGGGCGCCACAATTTAAGAAGGATGTGGGCAGAGGACGGTGATCAAAATGATTTATTTATTTTATCTATTCAACTTACGCGCCGTCCTATACCCAGAGGTCTCAGGGTGGTACACAACAAGAACCCAACATATAAAATCA